AAAATCTTATAATTTTATTTCGAAAGATTTAATTTCATTCAAATTTGCGAATTGATTAGACTTTTTATCATTCTCGATAGAGGGTAAATTTTATTCAAAATCTTGTTTTTGTTGATAAATTGTGCTTAATGGTTGTTGTTGTTGTTGTATTACATGTATTAGATTTTTCAAACAATTAATAGATGTTTGTTGCAAGATTATTATGGCATTTTGAAAATCAAATTCATAATTATTGTTTTGTGATCCTCAAACATGTTATCACAACCTACTTAAATAACTTGAAAGAGAAGTTGCATTTGAGAGACGAATTTTGAAATTTAAGGATTTTATTCTTCAAAATCTAATTGTTAAAAATGAAAATGATCAAAACTTAGTTTCATGAACATTATCTCGAGTGACATACTAATAAAATTTAGCTTCTGTTTGGTAATCATTTTTCAACCAAAAAAAAAAGAAGGAAAAATATGATCTTTGAAGAAGTCAAAAAAGACGGTTGTGAGAGGGAAAGTCAAAAAAGTTGGCTGAATTTGATTTCTAAAGAGCAAAAAATGCATTCTTTGGTCTGAAAAATGGTTACCAAACAGGAGCTTAATATTTTCACATTATTCCATGTGAACTACTAGTTAATTTTCAAATAAGAATTTTAGTGAAGCTACTATAAGAAATAAAAATTTTCGTATTAATATTACAAAATAAATTAAGTTTGGTAGTTGGGCAAGCCCATATATTTCAGTTCCTAAATATAGAATTTAAGAATGATTTTTTTTAGTGTGTAAAACTTACAATCATGGAGTTTCACTTATAGAGGCAGAGAATAAATACAATCCTATAAACAAGGAACTTCCAAATTCAAAATACACTATTGATCAAAAACTACGGAATTGATATGTCATCCTTATTGGTCTCCATGATTCCGATATGTGATATATCTATAGAATTGTTGGATCTAATGGAATTAACAACTTGATCTTCCACACGTCCTCTAAATCTGAAGGGGAGACTTCGAACTTTCAAGTTGTTTTTGACAGTTTGAAAACGCACCGAAGAAAATGGTTTAGTTGAAGAATTAGCTAGCTGATCTTTGCTCGAGATATATTGCACGATTAGCTTTTTATTCAACACTTGGTCACGCACATAGTGAAAGTCAAATTTTATGTGTTTTGTGGTTGCATGAAAGGCTGGATTAGAAGTTAAATAAGTAGCACCGATATTCTCACACCATAGAACGGAAGAAACAATTTCCAATAGTAGAGACCAAATCAATTGTATTTCGACAACAGCATTAGCTAAAGAATCGTATTCAGCCTCTTTGCTACTCTTTACTACAGTTGGTTGTTGTTTACAGCTCCAAGACACGTGCTTATCACCGAGAAAGATACAGTGTGCACCAACTAACCGTCTATCATCCTTATCACCTACCTGTAAGGATTTTTAATCAAATATGTGGGCTTATACGTGAAATATTGTGTATTAAATCAAAGGCTATCAATTTCGGTTAAACCC